AGTCTTTTTGTGCTGTTTGAATGGCATTCGGCATGGAGCAGTTTGGATATATTCTCTTTAATTCTCCAATTATTGTTTCCCCTATTAACTTGTTCTGGGTGGTGTGATTTATAATGAAGAATATCGGCTTCTTGCATTCTTGCTGCTTATTTGCCCATCTTGGATTTTTTAAGTTAAGTAACATTCTGCATTGGGTAATTTTAGTGTGGTGGGTGGAAGTTGTTTAGGAAATAGTAAAACTGCTATATATAGCTTTTTTTTTCCATGATTCCATATACCAAGTATGTCATCAATGCATCTGTACCACACTTCTCGTATTAAACCTGTTTTTGTCTATGTGTATCATGGGCTTTGGTTTCTAGTGTATTGCTACTCTTTTCTTTTGTTTGTACAAAGTGTCACCAAATTTTAAATAACTGTTTAAAAGGACAAAATTGAGCATTGTGCAGATGGTTTGTAATGTGATGTTCACTTGGATGGAGACAAGGCAATTATGTCTAAAGAAGTTAAAATGGAGTTAGCACATATTGTTTGTGTAGAAGATTATAACTTTTCTAAGATGTATTTAGTATTGGTTAAGTGTGATGGAACATACTTTATACATGGTTTAAACAGCTAATCTAGTAACCAGAATAAGGTTTCTGTTGCAGAGTCATATGCTGACACTGAGTCATAAAGGTAAATTTTATTTATGGTCTTTAGGGACTCCATATAGTTCAGGTATATGGCTATGGGAGGGTTCTAATTCCATTAGTAAATTTTCCAACAAAGCACTTTCTTCTTTTTAGATTTTCAAGTATATTTTTTGCTTCTCCCACGACCATTTTGATTGGATTTTTGTTTAATGTAGCATAAGTGGATGTGTCTTGAAGATGTTCCTCTATTTTACTTTAATAACTGTTTTTGGTTAAGACTACAAAATCTTTCCCTTTGTCTGATTCTTTTATAATTAGACTGTCTTTTGTTCAGAACTATTTTTATAGATGCTTTTTCTGCTAATGAGATGTTATCTTTTTCTTGATGATTTTCAAGTGTAACTAGAATATTTTTTATTTGGTGCTGTAGAAAGGAAATCTTTTGCTCTGTGGCTGTTGATGTTTTTGGCAGCTGATACTTCTTTGAGTCAAATGGGTGATTGCTGATTGATAGGTGATTTTGATTATCTTCTTGGTGATTTGTATCTCCTATTGGGTGTTGGTTAGTGGAAGATGAAAAAACATCATTTGGAGTGCTGTTGGATATTTCACTTGTGTTTTCTATAGTATTTTTGTGTGGAGTTTTTGAGATGTTTGTTCTTTCTTTAGTTTATGATGTTATTTCCAGTGAACACTATATATAGCTTTTTCAAGTGATGTTAAAATCTCTAGACATGTGTTGTCTGGAAGTTTACTACTTAAAGTAAAGTTTGAAGTTTTTGCCAAAAGTGACATAGCATTGGGCTGGAGTATACTACTAGTGTTAAAAACAAATTCTAAACCTTTGATACTCCAGAGCACACAAGTGTTAAACTGAAAGTAACAGTGTCAAGTGTACTGATATGATGTGTTGTTTTTTGAATATCAGTTTAGCTACATTTACTACCCATTGTCTCTGTTCATTTTTGGATTTTTTTAGTTAATGAGTATAGCTTCCATACATTTTCTCTTGCAAGATAAAAACTTTAAATAGGTTTTGAATTTCTGGGTTTGTATAGGAAGTGTTCTGCTGGAGCAGTTTTGTGTTGTTCCTACGTATATAATGTTCTGAGATGCATGTGTGAAAAGGTCTTCCGGTTTCTCCTATATATGCATCTCCACATATATTACAAATAATATGATAGACTACATTTTTGATGTGGCACATCTGTCCTACTCCACTTTCTCTGGTGTAGAAATGTTTTTTTTTGCCACATTTTGTTTGTGAGTAAGAATAATAAGCTAATAGTTCTTTCAGTGATTTACCTGGTTTTTGCATTATGTTGATTGTCATTTGCAATTGTTTAATAGCTTTACAAGTCTTGGTTGTGAATGCTTTGTTTATGAAAAGAATCTCAGTGTAGGAATATTCTCTTAGAACCTTTCCAAAAATGCAGTTCTGATACATGCCATTCCACTGCAACTTTATATTGGTTGTATGTTATGTGACTTGCTGATTTGCATACATAAAATGACTGTAATGTACTCAACCTCCTGTAATTTGCATATATAAACAAGTGACCAAGAACAAAAACCAATTTTCCCACAGAAGTAAGTAATGAAGTCATAGTTTTAACATTTGATGAAATCGTTATTTTAATAAAGTTTTTGAAATAACTCGATCTAATAACTAATAAATCAGATAAAAAGTTGATAAATTGAAAGTGTGGTGTTGCATTTCAACTTCTGAAATTAACAGATTGAACATGTATAAGTCTGTGTAATTATATTCTTTGTAGTGAAAAAAAACAAAAATTCAGAGTGACATTTGATGCATAATTATTTTAGCCATGTCAAAAAACATATATAATTAAATAAAACAATGTCCTCAACACACCTATAACTGCAAATAAATTGTAGAGCTTTTTCAGTGTTTTATATAAAGTACAAACCAACAAGATGTGTGCTAAAATTATAAACCATAAGTATTTCTTACATTTGCTGAAAGACATATTGCCCAAACTTTACAAAGTGTTGTAATAATAATAATAAAAAAAAAACAGTTTGTAAAAATGTTTTTAAGTGAGAAACCTTTTATGATTAATATTAACATAGAAAGATTTTCACTATTAACATAAATTTAATTTACAAAAATTATTACAATATCATTAAAGTGCAAGTGAATGACTTTAAATTTTAACAATGAGAAGCAAAATATAAAGACTACTGAAGTAAACCTTGCAAAACAAAACTACACAAAAGTACACCTGATATATTTATAGTTGGGTACTTTAACTCTGAGTACACAAACATTAATACTTCTGGTTTCAGTTACAAAAATAAACATTTAATACAATGAAAAATTATGTATTAATTATGATCAGTGTCACAATATTGAACTTTAGCAAGATTTTTTAACAATAGCCATCTCAAATTACTAACTTATTTATATGCCATCCACTATCACATAATTTAATATATTAAAAATTTTCTTGTCTATTAGAACACTCCTTGTAAAAAACTAAACAAAAGAAACAAAATGGTGAAATCACTCATTATCTATATAAAATACATATGGAACCCAAGAGTAATACTGATGGTATTATCATGTGACTCATATTGCTTGGAGACGGCTTGAATGGGTAATGAAGAAAAACTTTAATATAAATTTAACATAACAGCAAATGTACAACATTTCGACAAGGTTTTGTCGTCATCAGGTACACAATATTCTTGTCAACGTCAAATTCTCTCAAAAAGCCGTCCCTAAATTAAAGAAATCATTACTAAACAAAAATGATTTAGAATCACACAATACCAACGTCATTTGCAAAATAACATGCAATAACTGCCTAGAATTCTACATCGGAGAAACACGAAGAAAATTAGAAACCAGATTGACAGAACACAATACAAAAACCGTCCCATGTTTTTCACCACTGCAACTCAAAA